AAGTCTGGACTCCCTGAATAACAGAGCTGATATTATGGAGGAGAGAATCAGCAGTCTGGAGGACAGAAATATAGAAATGCTTCAGATGGAGGAAAGAGAACTAAGACTAAAAAGAAATGAAGAAATTCTCCAAGAAATATCTGACTCAATTAGGAAATGCAACATAAGGATTACAGGTATTCCAGAGGGAGAAGAGGAGAATGGAGCAGAAACAACAGCTGTTCAAGGAAATAATAGCAGAGAATTTCCCAAACCTGGGGAAGAAGCTGGAAATACAAGTGAAAGAAGCTAAAAGAACTCCTAACTATATCAATATAAAAAGACCTCTCCAAGGCATGTATTAGTAAAGCTGGCAAAAATCAAGGACAAAGAAAAAATATTAAGGGCAGCAAAGCAGAAGAAAATAACTTACAAAGGAACCCCTATAAGGCTTTCAGCAGATTTCTCAGCAGAAACCTTACAGGCTACAAGGGAGTGGAGTAATATATTCAAAATTCTGAAAGACAAAAACTTTCAGCCAAGAATACTCTATCCAGCGAAAATATCTTTCAGATATGATGGAGAAATAACAAGTTTCCCAGATAAACAAAAGCTAAGGGAGTTCATCACCACAAGACCCCCCTACAAGAAATGCTCAAGGCCCTCATACCTGAAAAAAAAAAACAAAGGGGTTACAAAGCCTTGAGCATGGAGACAAATAGGTAGATAAAATCATACAATTGTAGCTCTCTATCAGAACAGGCTAGCAGACACTTAATTATAACATTAAAGATAAAGGGAAGCAGAACATCAAAAATAAATATAATCTTGTCATCTTAACCACAAACTCACAACACAAGATGGAATAAGTTGTGACCATTATAACTCAGAAGAGGAAGAGGAAAGGGATGGAATCGGCTTAGTCTAAGGAAATAAGAGGCTATCAGAAAATGGACTATATCATCTACAAGATTTTTTATACAAATATGACATAAAGTGAGAGGTAAAAGGGTGTTATATGGCGGGATGGTTTCAACATTTCACTCGAAGTGGTAAAATATTAATTCTAAGTACGTTGTGAAAAGCCAAGTATATATACTGTAATCTCTACAGTAGCCACTAAAAAAACGATAGAAATATCATCAAAAATTTAACAGAAAAATTTAAAAGGAATACTAAAAAATGTTCAAATAATCCAGAAGGCAAGAAAAGAGAAGAGAATAAAAGAGGAAGCAAAAACAAATATTAAATAGACAAATCCAAACATAACAATAATTATATTAACTGTAAAAAGTCTAAATATACCGATTAAAAGATAGAGATTGTGAGAATGGATAAAAAACAAGACCCACCTATTTGCTATCTACAAAAAACTCACTTTAAATATAATGATATAAGTAGGTTAAAAGTAAAAGGATAGAAAATGACATACCATGTAAACATTAATAAAAAGAAAGCTGAAGTAGCTGTATTCATATCAGACAAGGTAGACTTGGGAGCAAGAAAATTACCAGGAATAAAAAAGGTCATTACATAATGTGTATGCATCCACCTAACAAAAGAGCCTCAAAGTAAATGCAGCAAAAACTGACAGAACTGAAAGGAGAAATAAACATATTCACAATTATAGTTGAAGACTTCAATACTCTCTCTTGATAATCAATAGAACAAGTAGACAGAAAATCAGCTAGGATACAGAGGAAATAAACAACACTACCGGCCAACTGGATCTAAATGATATTTATAGAACACTCTATACAAAACAGCAGAACATATATTCTTTTGAGTGCACATGGGAAATTCACCAAAATAGAACATATCAAACCTTAATAAATTTAAAAGAACTGAGATCATACAAAGTATGTTCTCTGACCATAATGCAATTAAACTCGAATCAATAGAAAGACAAATGCAAAATATCCAAGTACTTGGAAATTAAAACACTTCCAAATAACTCATGAGTCAAAGACTAAGCCTCAAGGGAAATTAGAAAACGTTTTAAACTAAAAGAAAAATGAGCAATATATCAAAATTTGTGGAGTGCACAAAATTTGTGGGGTCCTTCATAAAGAGGGAAATTTATAGTATTAAATGCTGATATTAGAAAAAAAGGTCTCAAGTCAATAATCCAAGTTTCCACTTTAAGAAACTAGAAAAAGAAGAGCAAAATAAAGTGAAAGCAAGCATTAGAAAGGAAGTAAAGAGCAGAAATCAATGAAACTGAAAACAGAAAACAACAGGAAAAAAAAAAATCAATGAAATTAAATTCTGATTCTTTGAAATGATAATAAGATTGATAAACCTCTAGCCAAACTGACCAAGGAAAAAAGACAAAAGGCACAAATTATCAATATCAGGAATGAAGGAGATATCACTACAGATCCCACAGATATTACATTAAGGGACAATGTCAAACAACTCTATGCACATAAATTTGACAACTCAGATAAAATGGACCAATTTCTTAAAAGCCACAAACTACCAAAACTCACTCAAGGAGAAATAACAACATGAATAGTTCTGTAACTATTAAAGAAATGAAAATCTTAGTTAAAAACCTTCTGAAAAAAAATTCTAAGGAACAGTCGTGGAATTATTGTAAATAGGAACCGTCTTATTGGATTCATAGAGAAAAACATATATAATTTAAAGACTTCTCCTCTTTTAATATATGTGCATTCATTTGGTGGCTTTATCATTCAAAAATCTAGTTAATTTGTTTGCAATAAAATATATAAACTTCCATTGATAGGAATGGAACAGCATACTGTGCTGTATTCAACTCAATTTTTATCAATACTTCTTGATCTCTCAATGTGGACAGTATGGTCACTCTTAAAGGATCTCTGCTTACCAAAGTAAATCAAAGATATTACTTTGTATTTACATCAAGTGAATTACTAACTAGACAAGAAGTCAAGAGCATTACTTGAATAAGTACTCAATGACATAGGTACTAATGGTTAAATCCTACGAAGCAAAACATCTCAACTCAACTCAACTCAACACTTCAAACAACTGAAGTGATCTTTAAAAGTTGTGTAAAAATTAAGTTATCTACTTAGATAATATACTGAAAAGTACTAGAGAAGTATTTTATATGAGACTGAACCATATGAAATTGCCAATCATCAAGTGGTCCAACCTAGAACAATGTAATCATTCCTTGTTTTATATATGATTTAGTGTTCTCAAGAGTGCTAGTCACTTCTGTCAGAATGGTATTATAATGAATTACCTTGGATGTTGGGGACTCAAGTTTATTCAACATTTACCAAACATATTCTGGATATTTTTTACAATAAAGATTATTTGCAAATCTAGAATATGAACATGTACTAGGAAAGGAGTACTTTACATGGCTATAGAACCTTTGTTTTACTTCTACTTTTCAAGAGTCTGCTATTTCTAATTCTTAAAAAAATAAGCCCTGTTTTCACTATAAGCATGGATTCACTATAGAGTAAGGATTAAGATCCATCAAGGCTCAAAATATTAAAAGGAGAGAACACAACAAAATTTTTAAAATCACATCATTTTTTTACTCAAAATCCTTCAAGGGGCTGGCCCAGTGGCGTAGTGGTTAAGTTTGCACACTCCACTTCAGCAGCCCGGGGTTCGCAGGTTCAAATCCCGGGCACGGACCAATGTACGGTTCATCAAGCCACCCTGTGGCAGCATCCCACATACAAAATAGAGGAAGATGGGCACAGATGTTAGCTCAGGACCAATCTTCCTCAGCAAGAAGAGGAGGACTGGCAACAAATGTTAGCTAAGGGTCAGTCTTCCTCACCAAAAATAGAAAAAAAAAAATCTTTCAATATCTTATCTCACTGAGTCAAAGTTCTTTGACTATGGCCTACAGCCATTTCCTGCTACTATTCCCTCCTCTCTTCCAGCCACCCTGGGCTTCTTGCTGTTCCTCAAACACACAAGAGCATTCCTTCCTCAGAACCTCTTTATTAACTATTCCCTCTACCAGGAAATGCTCTTCTCAAAGATATCCACATGGCTCACCTCCTCATCTCCTTCAGATGTCTGCTTAAATGTCATCTTCTCAAAATGGTTTTTTCTGACCAATCTATTAAAATCTATTTTTTATTCTAATTTCTAATATTTAAAATCTATTAAAAATACAAGCCACTGTATTTTTTCCCCCGGTTTATTGTCTGTCTTCCCCCAACAAAATATAAACTACAAGGAAGTGAGGCCTTTGTTCTATTCATTGCTATATCCCCAGAGTCTAGAACAGTAGCAGACTCTCAGTAAGAATCTGCTGAACAAGATGCTGCACAAAGACTGCATATACGCTCCAATTAAAATTTCTGTCACAGATACTAAAAAAAGCTAAGAAAATGGTTTGGAACCCTTCAAGCCCTGCTACTTAAAATGAAACAACGACCCTTTAGGAGAAAATATCTTATTTTCAACAAAATACCCTAACGAATGGCCGGATTGCCTAAAGACAAAACATTAATGCTAAGTGCACGCATGCTGCAAGTCTGTTGGTACAGAATGCTTTGGTATATCATACAAGACTTTCGCTAAGCCATTTTCCCACAAACCAACAAATTCTGGCTAAAGATACTTAAGGAAAAATAGAAGTGGAGTTAACCTATTATACAAGGATTAGGAAATACAGAACATACGAGTCCAAACCTCACAGTACAGAGCAAGAAGCCAGAAATCGAAATTGGGAGTGCGTGCCCCCTAGGAGACACTGAGAGAAAAAGTCCAAAAAGGACTGCACCCCTTTTCTTGGCGCCAGGTATGGTATGAACATTCAGTCCGGGGGTGCAAGGGGCTTGGGATTTGGGAGGGCGAGGCCCGGTTCCCAGTAGGGTGGGAGTGGTGTACCTGGCCACCCTCCTCTCCACAGATTTTCGCTCAGGAGAAATCGGAGTGCTGACTGTGCCTACCCGTTCTCAAAAAGGCTTGGGGGAGGGCTGATGAGGCTAGAACCCCTCCCCTCCGCCAAGGCAAGCCCAGGCCCCAGCAGGGCTCCCCAGTCTCCGGCTCACCCGGCTCCCGGTTGATCTCGATGTCGAAGTGGCACTGCGGCCGGTCCTGCGCCCCCATCGCGACCGAGGCGGCGGCAAGAGCTGGGAGAGACGGGGAGGAAAGCAGTCAGGGCGGGAGCTGGGGCGGAGCCCGCGCCACCATCGCCTCGCGCCGGCCTGTCGCGATAGCGCGGGAGGCCGAGACCGGACCCCCTCCCGCCCGGGCCTCCCGACTCCCACGCAGCGCGCACACACATGCGGGCGAGCTCTTTACCTAGCTGGCCTCCAGCCTGAGCAGCTCCGGGCGAGCAAACGACTAAGCGCGACCACCGCAGCCAGAGGCCGACGCCACTAACGGACCACCACCCCCTCCCGCAGGCCCAGCCTCCTAGTGCCACGCTAAACCCCGCGAGAGTTGGGACAAATACCACGAGAGCACAGTCTCGAAGGGGGTGGTTAACCGAAGGGGGCGCGACACGTGGGCGTGACTGTTAGCTTTGGAGGAGCCTCGAGCCTGGCTCTCCTATAGCTGAGCTTGTCCTTTTTTGCCCCGCCCCTTTCCCCCTTTACCATTGGAGTCGGTCGCCCAATCGGGGACTCCTGGCGCGCCTGTGCTCTGTACTTCCTCTTGTCCTCTTTGAAGAGCCGTGAGCGTCCGCGTACTTTCCGATATCGCGAGGCTTCTGGTTGGCTACAGATGCGAGTGAATAGTGAGAATAAGTCTTGGGGTTTAGTAAACCGACAGATCTTTTGGCTTGTTTTGTTTTTCGCAAGGAGTAGTTATGACGCTATCCTCCTATTAGACCGTTCGTCTCACTTCAAAGGCCTTTTAGGCTGGGGTGTGTGTTCGTTCCCTCTTCGGCTCCAGCTTCACTAGGATAGTTTCTGTTCATGGCCATTCTACATCTTTTGTGAAGAGTCAGTTCGAGAACTTTGCTCATTTTTTAATCGTGTTCTTCGTCTTATTAATGAATGCAAGGATTTTGGATACCACTGTTTTGTCAAAGAGGTGATAGATGTATGTTCTGATTACAAATCTTTTGTTAGATGTGTGTCATTGCAAATATCTCCCAATCTGCGTCTTGTCTTTTCATTGTTTTGACGGTGGCTTATGCAAAGCAGTTTTTAATTTTGGTGAAGTCATTTGATCAATTTTTTCTTATATGGTTTGTGCTTTTTCTGTGCTAGGAAATCTCTGCCTAGCCCCAAGCTCGCGAAGAGTTTTTCCTATGTTTTCTTCTAGAAGTTTTATAGTCTTACCTTTTACATATAAGTCTATAATCTATTAGAATTTTTCCTTATGGTGTCACGTAGAGGTTGAGGTTCATTTTTTTTTTCCTATAGGGATATACAGTAGTTCCACCACCATTTGTTGAAATGGCTGATCCATTGAATTACCTTGGTTTGTGACCACATGTGTGTGGTTCTATTTCTGGACTTTATTTTGTTACATTGATCTATATATCTATCTTTATGCCAGGGCCACACTGTGCTTGTTTTTAGTTATTTTCTTAAAATTGTAAAATATACAGGGGCTGGCCCGGTGGCCCAAGCGGTTAAGTGCGCAGGCTCGGCTGCCGTGGCCGGGGGCTTGCCCATTGGGATCCTCACGCCGACCGACCCACTGCTTGCCAAGCCATGGTGTAGCGCTGTCCCATATAAAGTGGAGGAAGATGGGCACAGATGTTAGCCCAGGGCCAGTCTTCCTCAGCAAAAAAAAAGAGGAGGATTGGCAAATGTTAGCACAGGGCTGATCTCCTCGCAAAAAAAAAAAAAATAAGCATCGTAAAATATACATTCCATAAAATTATCATTTAACTTTTTAAGTGTACAGTTCAGAGGCATTAAGTACATTCACATTCTTGTGCAACCATTAGCACCATCTATCCACAGAACATTTTTCATCTTGCAAGACTGCAACTCTGACTCATTAAAGAATAACTCCCAGTTCTCTCTCCTTTACCCAGCTTCTGGCAGCCATTCTCTACTTTATTTTTTTTAGCTTTACTTTATTGTGGTAAGAACACTTAACATGAGATCTACCCTCTTAACAGATTTTTAAGTGTACAATATGGTATTGTTATCTATAGGTACAATGTTTACAGCAGATTTCTAATATTTATTCATCTTGCATAAGTGAAATTTTATACCCATTGATTAGCAACTCCTCCTTTTCTCTTCCCCATTCCCTTGCAGCAACCGTTTTATTCTTTGCTTCTATGAATTTTAGATACCGCATATAAGTGGAATCGTGCAGTATGTGTCCTGCAACTGTCTTATTTCACTTAGCATAAGGTCCTCAAAGTTCATCCATGTGGTCACATATTGCAGGATTTCCTTTTTTAAGACTGAATAATATTTAATTATATGTATATACCAACTTTATTTATACATTCGTCAGTCAGTGGACACTTGGGTTGCTTCCACCTTTTGGCTATTGTGAATAATGCTGCTATGAAGATGAGTGTACAAATATATTTTCGAGATCCTGCTTCCAGTTCTTTTGGATCTATGCCCAGAAGTGGAATTACTGGGTCATAAGCTAGTTAATTCTATTTTTAATTTTTTGAGGAACTGCCATACTGTTTCATAGTGACTGCACTATTTTACATTCCCACTAGCAGTGCACCAGGGTTCCGGTTTCTCCACATCGTTGCCAACACTTGTTATTTTCCATTTTTTGATAATTGCCAATCTAATAGGTGTGAAGTGGCACACTGTTTTGATTACTGTAGCTTTATAGTAAATTTCAAAATCAGGGTCACTTAGGTAGTTTCTAACCTGTTTCTGCACCTGTGCTATCTGTGTAAAGGGCAGTCAGACCTTTGGCACTTCCACACCATCACAGAAGTGCTATCCCTGTCACAGGTTGCCAGTTCTACCTCCCGGAGAGTACAGTATCTCTATCAGAGCAACAGTCTCCTGGGTTTCTCGTTTGTAACCTAGGCTGAATTGAGAAGCCAGTGGTCCTGGGTCTCATTTTGCTTACAGTGTTACAGCTAATCATTTATAGGTTTTTAAAAAATGAAACGCACATGCCTATTTGAAGATGAAATGGGTTGGTAAAGCTAACTTTCATACAAAGATTTGTGAAAGGAAAGGACAGGAGCACTGCCCAACTTTGTAATTTCTGTGCTTTAGAGCAGCTGGCTTCAATCTAAGTAGGCTTCAGAGCCTGGGAATGAAATGCTTAATTTGGGGTGTACCTTAAATCTGCAGGAATTCATTCTTATCTTGACACTCCAAAGTGCCACTGGTTATGAGAGCTGGATAAATCACTTTGATCTTTCTAGAGTTCAGTTCCTTCATCTGTAAAAGAAGCAGGATGAAATATACCTTCTATCTAAGTTTCCTCCTTGCTCAAAATTCTTTTATTCTGTCCTGTGAGTTGAAATTATATTTCAGATGATTTGAAGATAAGGTATGCTATTTGGTCTGTGGTTAAGATGAAGAAACTGCCGGGACAAGGCAGGCCTAGGGCTAGCATCCGCCAAAAGGACTGATACCTCCTCCTCCATCCTCAAGAATGGTAGAAAATTGGCATCCAGGGAGTTTACAAACTCAAGCCTAATTTGTCGTGATTACCACGAAGAAGAACCGGTGGTAGTAGGAGTTTTCAGGTAATGATTCTGGATGTTTAGCCTTTTAGAGTGGGATCACACCAGCAGTTGGAACTTCAGTGGATCGCACTCTGGCAAAAATAATCAGGAGTGCTACTGGGGAAACTTAGATAGATAATTTTCTAGAAAATAGAAATTACCAAAATTGACTCAAAAGAGATAGAAGACATGAATAAACTAGTAACCATTGAAGAAATTGAATTAGTAATCCCTAATTCCCCTCCGAACAACTGTGAAAGGCATTTTGATACAGACAAATGGGAAATTTGATTATGGTCTATATATTGGATGAAACTAAGGAAATATATTTAATTTTGTTAGAGGTGATAATGAAATATTGGTTCTGTAAGAAAATATCCTGGTGCCAGCCTGATGGTGTAGCGGTTAAGTTTGTGTGCTCTGCTTTGGCAGCCCAGGGTTTGCAGGTTTGGATCCCGGGTGCAGACCAACACACCACTCATCAAGCCATGCTGTGGTGGCATCCCACATACAAAATAGAGAAAGATGGCCACAGATGTTAGCTCAGGGCCAATCCTACTCAGCAAAAAGAGGAAGATTGGCAACAGATGTTAGCTCAGGGCAAGTCCTCCTCACAAACAGAAAAACAAAACAGAAAATATCCTTGGTTTTTTAGAGATGCATACTGAAGCATGTAGGGATGAAAACACAGGATATCTGCCTGGGATTTGCTTTAAAGTATTTAATCAAAGAAAAAAGAAAGAAAATAAATTTTTAAATAGATAATGAGTGAAATAAATATGGAAAAATCTTGATAGTTGTTGCATCTAGGTGATAGGTATATGGGTGTTTTTGAGCTATGTTCTCTACTTTTATCTTTGAAATTATTCATAATAAAACTCCCATTAAGAATAAATATAGTCTTCCTTTCCAAAATAACAGAAGGTCCAAATTGTTTCATAGGTAAATTTTACCAAACACTCAAGGATCAATAATCCTTTTCTCAACCAAAATATTTCAGAAAATAGAAAGAGAGAGCGAGCTACCTAACTTATCTCACGATACCAAGACCAGACAAAGACAGGACAAGAAAGTTAGAGACCAATCTCATTATAAACATGGATTTAAAAATCCAAATAAAATATTAGGAAATGGAGTTCAGCAGTATTTAAACCCCAAAATGTTCATGACTTAATTGGCTTTAATTCAGGAATGCAAAGATGGTTCAACCTCAGAAAATCTATTCCTATAATTCACCATATTAACAGATGAAAGAAAAGGCATGTGATTATCCCAATGTATGGTGTATTGGTTATCAATTTATTGCCTCTCAGCTCCTTCAGTATAACCTCTGTAATATACAATTCAGCCTCAAGCAGGGATCCCTGCTCCAACCTACCTCCCTCAAAGTACATTTTCTCCGATGAGAGGATACATATACAATTCTACCTTATTTACTTATACCATTTTTTAAATAAAAGGATATCTTAGATCTTAAATGAGAAATTGTGCAGAAAAGAATTAGTATAATAGGCCTGAGACTGCTATCTTCAGAAAGGCCTGCTTACAAGGTTGGCCCTTGGGTGGACTCTGTGAACTTGAACGATAATCAGTTTCCTACACTTCTAGAAAACTTTCATTAAATGGTAAGAGTGACTTGCTATGCCTAAACTGTTTGTGCAAACAATATGATTTATGCTGAACACCTGCTTTCTTTTTGGGAATCTGAAATTTTGGTATATGCTAGGCAGAAGAGGCATACTGACCAGCTCTGAGTCTCTAATGAACTTCCCTGGTAGACAACATTTCTCACATGTTGTCACAGTTCATCCCTAG